GAGCATCTCCTGGCCTGGCCCATCTCAGGCACTGTGGCCCAGACCCAGTAACAGGGGAGAGAGCGCCGGTCTGTCCTCTCGGGGGCCACGCTGTCCCCTACGCCCTGGGGAAGGGGGACGGCAAGGGGACCCCCCGCAGCCTGCTGAAGCTGAGGCCTGACCTCCACCAGGGAGTGTGACTAACACAGGCCTCACCTCCATCTCCACACGGCTCTTTGAAGCTGTCACCTCCCTTCATCCACACAGCACCCTGGGGGGCCGGCATGGCAGGCACATCCCTTTGTAAGTGGAAAAATAGGGGCTCCGGGGCTCGGAGGTTTGCTCAAAGCCACCGAATCTTCCAGAGTTCAGCACCTCCCCCTAAATCATGCTGCCTGAAGTCACTTCAAGGGCCCGATGGTCAGAGGGGAGCCCAGGGAGACAGAGAGGAGGGGAGCCCAGGGGGACAGACAGGAGCCTCTCCACGGACGGCCTCTCCTTTCACGGTTGCATAAACAGGGCGGGCAGAGGTCCCTGTACCCATAAATCTCGGGGACTTGGTGTCATCTTGGGCCCAGGAAGGGGGGCAACAAACAGGCCAGCGTGCTCTGGGGTCGCCCCCAAGGTCACCAGGGCAGCCACCTCCAGGCTATGTGAGCACCACCAAGTATCCCTCCCTCCGGGGTGTGTGCTTCAGGCCCTTCCACAGGAGAGTGTGGGAACCATCCACGCTCACAGCCAGAAGGAAACCAGGCAGTCTGGGTCAGCGCAGAAACCGAGAGGGACGTTCGCCATCTGGAGCTGTGGGCACACACCAAGTGGCCCTGGGTGAGCGGGAGGAGGTAAGATTTTCCTGGGAATAACACCCCCTCTGAGAAGGGATCTGGGTTAGCAGAAGGGGGCGGTGTCAGGAAAAACAAATCACAACACCTAAAAACCAGGAGACAACACAGAGGCGGGAACACGAAGGGGGACCAGGGAACCCAGCAGCTTCCCCAGGAATCGGAAGGAGAATCAGCTGAGCTCATCCTCAGGGGTCTGGTTCCGAAAGTAATGTGCTTCTGGCCTGCGCCTCATGTGACCTCTGAACCCCATGAAAGGGGGACAGGCACAGACAGCCGGCCCGGGGTGGCTACCCCTGCACACCACACCGGGATGGGCCACCTTCTGTCACAGACACACAGCCTGCCAGCCCCTCAGACAGGCTGCTGCTCCACGGTGTCGCCCGGAATTGTGCCCAGATCGCTGAACTGCGCAGAGCCCGGGGCGGAACAGGCCAGACAGGCTCGTTCGCTCAGCTGCCTGGGCGCCTCATGGTCGGCGAAGGGAGACAGGCGGGGCCAGAGGAGGGCGCTGCTCACGCAAGGGTCCCAGGCGGTGCCACACAGCCCCGGGAGTGCACGCGACACCGCACGCGACACCGCACGCGAGTGGAGGGCTGGCGCGGAATGAAACAAGGAAGGTCGGGCAGCCCGGAGGCCGCTCTTCATCCAAACGCCTTCTTTCCCACAGCACTTTCTGGGTCGGGCGGGGGCTTCCTAACTTCAGGGCACGTGCACTGCTGACACCAGGGTGGGCGTCCCCCTCCAGGGTCCCTGAACCCCACAGGGCGCATGCCCAGACAGCGACACAGGAGACCGTCAGTAAACGAAGGATATAAAGTGTCATTCCCACCTCCCCCGTTGCTGTTTCAAGTTTTTATCACGTTTTGCAGTAACGACTCGTAGCTGTCTGCAAGAACCCTAACGGCTCCCACACGTCGGCTGCGGCCACCCTCTCCCCCCACCACCCAGGTCAACAGCCGCCCTGCCCTTCAGGGGAAGAAAGACGACCTCGTGAGCGCGCGTCTGGCATGAGAGGGGAAATGTCACTGGGGCTGTGGGTCCCGCTTCAAGGACTCAGCTGTTCAGCAGGAGGGGAGTCTCCTCCTTCCCGTCTCTACAGGGGCCGCGCCTTTCAGACCGGCTGCCGCAGACGACTTTAAACCCCCACATGCCGCCCTGACACGCTGTCACTGCTGGGGACGCCGTCCAGGTGGACACCCAGGGGCTGGCGAGGGCGTGTCCGCCGTGTGCCTGGGAAGGCACCTGCGATAGAGCTGGAACACAGGCCCCTGTGTGACCATTCCTCACTTCTCTACCGAGTCACCTCGGTCATGAAATGCCCCTGAGCATGTTCTAGATTCGACCGCCCGGCTCTGGCCTTCCCAGCAAAAATATCCTTGGGCAGCAGCAGAGCCTGTGGCGTCCACTAAGGGTCTCGAGTCATAATGGATCTCGAGGTCTGCCTTTCCTTTCTTTTTAATACGTAATTTTCCCCACCAGCTGCAACGTGCACCAGGAGGCAGTGGAGCATCTCACTGGACGCGCCCGCCCCCTGGTGGCCGGAGGGAACGCAGCAGGAGATTCTTTGGGCAACAGAACCTGAGACAACGAACTGAGATGATGGAACAAAACTGACAGGTGGAAACTCTGTTTATGGGAGAAACGTGAGATCTGATTGGGCAGAAATGGAATGAAGTATAATTTTAAAACAGAAAAAGTTACTAGGGGGGTTTAGAGACAAGGCACCCAGGTCTTGCCTGTGTGTCCTGGCCTGGGTCCCCCTGCTGAACTGTGACTACGGTGGCTGGGCGTCTGTATGCACCTGTTATTACCCCAAATAACTAAACTATAACCCTAAGCACAGGGCTGGGCACTGGGCCTTTCAGGGCTCCCAGGATTCCCAAAGGGCAGCTTGGGCTCAGAACCACTGACCCGGGCTGTTTCTAAGGCTGCAAGAGGGATCCCTGGGGCGGGAAGCAGACTCCATCCCAGGCATACTGAGTCAAAATCTCTGCAGGCGGGCTCCATATCCTGCCTCTTCCAAAGCTTCCTGGGTAATTCTCAAGCACACTACATTACAGAAATCACCGTGAGAGAGAGAGTTGGGGGACGGCAACGCCTGGTAGTGGGNCTTCCAAAGCTTCCTGGGTAATTCTCAAGCACACTACATTACAGAAATCACCGTGAGAGAGAAAGAGTTGGGGGACGGCAACGCCTGGTAGTGGGGGTAAAGGTTGCCTCAGACAGGTGAGCTTGGAATCTGAGACAGGCCTCCCTGACTAGGGTCCAGGCCATATCAACGAAGGTCTAACGAAAGGAACAGGCTTCAGGAAAAGCCAGATATACTCAGAGCTGGTAGCAAAGGCCCCGCATGCGCACATGACTTAGGGAAGAGATTGCTTTTTTCTTGGTGGGAGGTCGGCTCTAATCTACCCTCCTTTACTCTTCCACACCCTGACCCCTTTTCTCCAACCCCACAGAACCAGCCGCTGGAAAGAGGCGCCTAGCAGTCTCTTTTTCATTGACTTATCCTTGGGAAATAATTATTTGGAAAACTGACTCCTTGGGGCATCTTGGGCCAGCCAAAATCTCCATCCCACCCCAACACACACATGCACACATGCAAAGCCACCAGGCACCCAGGCCCTCCTCGTCTTGGGACAGAAGTCCGGGGAGAGTGGGCTGGGGCTGCAGTGTGGGACTTCTAAGGCTGAACAAATGGACTAAATCACAGAACAAAAGACCAACGCCGCAGAAGTGCTCATAAATCATTTTCCCTGACGCAAGTTCGAGGGCCTTGTCCAAGCTCCGCCCCTTTGAGATGCCCGATGGGTATTTGCTAAGGTTTATACGAGCCTGGGTCAGTACCACTTAGAAAGTAAACTCATCTTCTACATGGAATCTCACTAGAAGAGCTGAATAAATAAAAGTTTTCATTAAAAACAAAAACAATAGAAGCTTCCTGACTCTTGCAACCCTGCACGAATTACTGGATTATTTGAAAATCTCAACCTCGCATTCCCATCAAAAACGACCGAAGACGTGTCCTCATGTCTACTGCAGCCTGAGCTCGGCTGGCCAAGGAGCCACTCTGAAGGGTGCAGCTAACTGGAGAGGAGCCTCGTTTCCGGCAGCTTAGGCAACTTGCCCCAAACCCTGCAGCTCCGAGTGGCAGAGAGAGAACTGACTCTGCTCATCCTTTCAGTCTCAACCTATGTGACCTCAGTTCCTCCAGAAAGTCTCCCCCACCTGCAACCCCACCGCCTCTGGGACCAGAGGCCCCACCATGTCCCCAGAACACTGACGACATCCGCCTGCATCCCTCCTGTACAGAGGCGGGGACTGGCTGTCCTGCTCACCTGTATCCACACCACACCCCACACAGGACACCTTCAATACACATCGCTGCCCAGGGCCGCTCTCGGGGAGGGGGCGGGAGAATGAAGGAGGGACAGAGGAAGGGAGACAAGAAGGAGAGGCCAGAGCGAGCGAGGGCCCCTTCTGTCTGCAGGAGAAAGTCAGGTCCTCAGCTTGGCCTCAGAAGCCACCCCCCTGGGCCTCAATGATCATTCACATGTCAGCACCTGCATAGGAAAGGCTGTGCCCTCGGTGGCCCTTGAGGGTAAACAGAAGAACCAGTGGGCAGAAGTGGGAGAGAAACAGGGTGAAGTAGGATGGAAGTGTTTAAGATGCCAGCCCTCTGGCTGGGAGAGCCACAGCCTCAGAATTGGGTTCAAGCACCTCTAAGCTCTGCTCCTCCCTCCAGGCATTTTTTTAACCCTAACCCAACGATGTGTTTTTACTGATTTTTTTAGAGAGAGGAGGGGGAGACAGAGGCAGAGAAAAATAGAGAGAGGGAGAGAGAAACATCGATGTGAGAAGCACTGATCAGCTGCCTCCCATACATGCCCCGACTGGAGATCAAGCCCAAAAGCTTTTGGTGCCCGGGATGATGCCCCCCATCTGAGCCAGGTCAGGGCATATACTGGGGCTGCAGGCTCCTTCCCCGGGGGCAGCCTTGCAGGAGGAGGCCGATCCCTGTTTCTCTCTCTTCCTGTCCGTCTCCCTTCTCCTCTCTCTAAATAAAAAATAAATTAAAAAAGAAAAGAAACTGCCACTGGGGAGTTTGGGTATAGAATCACAGATTACTCACAATCATTAGAAAAGGCTATCTAAATACCTTTTCCAGCTTCATACCTGCATGAGGCGGAGCTTTCCTTACATACTTCAAGCAAAGCCACCTACTGCAACAGATGCAGACTGAGGATCCAGCCGTCTTGTGTTCAGCCGGACACTAAGGAGATACACAAAAATGTGAAACGGTGCAACTCTTCTCACTAATTGCTTTGTTTTGGAAAACATAGTTAATTTTTTATTGAAAAAATATTAGTCGTATTAATAAGCAATGGTTTATTATTGTTACTTTTACATGAATTAGTAAACAAATCTTTTCAAAGTATCTGTTTCAATTGCTATTAAATATTGATAGCTATAACCCACATAAACCAGAGCTCTCTGGGGCTTTGATAATTTTTAATAATTGTATTATACTGTATTATCAATATGTAGTAATATACATTAATATATAATATAATAATAACTTTGATCCTGAGATACATTGGGCTTCCCCGCTGGACTCAGGCTGGTCTCTGTCCCTCATCAGGTCCTGTCTGACCCACGACACTTCCCGGGTCACCCCTCCCCACAGCGCTGGCTTCCGGGCTCCGCTCCCGTTTTCACGGTCTAGGCACTATTGTAACAGTCACATAGTTGTCTGTGTCCATGAGTTAGGTTTGCACATGGCCACCTCCCAGTGTCCGTGTGTCAGGATGTCAGGGAATTCCCTTTCTGATGGTTGTTAACAGGTCTAGTTCCACGAAACCTAAAACAAACCAACATCTGCCTGCGGCAAAGGAGAGTGAAATGCGCCCTCTAGTGGGCGGACGCGCAAGTGCACAGAGCACAAAATGTGTTTGGACTCCCAGGAGAGCTCTGGCCGCCACCCCGAAAATTCAGACAAGATACAAGCAGAGGGAGACTATTCACTTTGATTTTTTGACAGTAAGTTTTTTAAAAAGAACTAAAAAAATGTGAAACCAAACCCAGTTTGGACTCTGTGAACCTGTGGCCACACCTCCGCACGCTTGGAGAAAAATCTTCCTTCTTAAATTCTCATGAGTTAACTGTACATCAGCTACCCCAAATCAACTGTCTTAATTACACATTACTGATTAAGTAGCTATAACTCTAAGTATTTAAAGCATCCACAGTGATGACTAGAGCGGAAATGACTATCACCAGCTCCATCTCAACATGAGCACCGCTCTCCATTCCCATCCCAGGCACTGAAGTGGCCTGAAGAGAGCTGCGGGGCCCTGAAGGGCGCGCGCCGGCCCTGGGCGCTGTCCAGCTGCGTGCGCCGCCGATGACGGGATTTAACTCTGCTTCTTTCTCCGGATGACGAGAGAAAACAAAACACACAGCCTTCCACCCATCAGTCAACACCGCGGCAAGGACGCGGGGAGATGTCTGAGGCACACAGTTCAGTTAGGAAATGAAGTTACAGAACAGTGGGTAGTAAAATCTAGTTGATGTTCTTAAAAACGTGCATTTGTACATCCAGGTGAGCACAGGCGTATGTTCTACACGGTAAACCACCGTCTGTTACTTCCGAGAGGGAACATGCATTATTGGAGCAAGTGATGCATCTACCTCTATGCCGTTCCAATGTTATAAGCAATTTAATTCAAAATAATCAAATACAGGTTGTTAGTAAGTTACAGAGGTGATCACTGATTCAAAACATCTCAGGAAATGGAAATGATTGGCGGTTTCTTCAACTGGGGGATCAGAAGGCTTAAATAAAAACAAGGACCTTGATCTAGCTGTTTTGTTTTTAAACCGTGAGACTGGTATTTGGGAGGGAACAGGTTTTATTTAAGTGCCTTTATCAGAAGGTGCACGATGTCTGGCTCCTTCGATGGTGACACAGCCTGGGGGATGCACAGCACCCTCGGCCGCCTCGCCGAGCTCCGGCAGAGACAGTGCCTCCCTCCCCCGACACCGCCTGACCAGGTGATCGAGGTGTTTCTGTGAAGCTCAGATGGCCCACGGTCACAGCATCACCTCCCAGCTCTGAGTTCTCACAGCGCTGGCCTCGGCCTCACAGTCAGGGGAAGACGGTCCTTTAAGTAAAAAATTAACTGGCATCATTAATATCAGTTCACAGTGGGAGGGTTGTTAGAAAACTAAAAAAACCAGTGGTATTACCAAATATGGTCACTGAGGAGCACACTCTTCCAATTATAATTTAAGCTCAGGTACAAAAAGAGAAATTACACGTCCGGCCGTCATCCTGATCCGCACACACAGTACCTCCAAGTCCACAGCCCAGACAGACGCAGCAACGGGCCCAGAATAAATTCCTGTGGTCGACAGTGACAGGACGCTTCCGAGAATGCACAGGTCACCGCCCAAGCACGCTGAGCTGCTCACTGATGACATTTAGCTGGACATGTGACCGCTCGGACGCCAGCCCCCCTCAGCCCCCAGGGAAGGTGAGCGCGGGTGACCGCACCTTCGGCGTCGCTTGCCTCCCTCCCCGCTCTTCTCACTTCCCCTCCTGGTTGGAAAGATCCCACGAAACTGAGCGTTACACTTGTCAGAATCAGACAGCGCGGGGATGGCACAGTCACAGGGAGATCAACATAAACAAGAAAACAAGCAGAGGAAACACCTCCCACGGAGGCAGGCTGACCACAAGACGTTCAAGAATGCAACTCCTAAAAATCAAATCCATTAAGAATACTGTCATTTGAAACCGAGCACATCAGAGCTAGACTGTGTTTGTATGACCACTGCCCCTTGCGGCAGCGCTTTGACCGCGAAAATTGGAGGATTCCTCAAAGAACCGGTAAAGTCCTCAAAAACCCATTTCAACCAAACACTGCACTGTGCCACCTACGACGGGGCGCCACCTACGACGGGGCGCCACCTACGACGGGGCGCCACCTACGACGGGGCGCCACCTACGACGGGGCACAACCTATGATGGGGCACCACCTATGATGGGGCNCCACCTACGACGGGGCACAACCTACGACGGGGCGCCACCTACGACGGGGCACAACCTACGACGGGGCACCACCTATGATGGGGCGCCACCTACAACGGGGCGCCACCTATGACGGGGCACCACCTATGATGGGGCGCCACCTACGACGGGGTGCCACCTACGATGGGGCACCGCAAACAGCGGGAAGCAAATCAGTCAGCAAACGGGCTCAGCGACCCACTAACCGCACAGCGGGAGGAGACACACCTCCGGGCCTCGCAGTTCACCCCCAATAGAGTCCAACTGAAATCAAATTTTAAATGTAAAGGGTGAAACCCTAGGCGCGCCAGCAGTGGTGATGATTATTAGAGTAACGACGGTGACGCCCTGCGTACAAGGTGCGGAGGAACATTCAGAGGGTGGAGGGAGAGCGGGGGCCACTCCGCCCACATCACCAACTCCCCACGGACATCCTTCCTGTCACTACGGCCACCCCGCCCCTGAGTTTAACAAAGTTGAAACCCCAAATGGGAATTCAAGGAGAGGGAGCCACCCGGTCGCTCCACCTTCCATAGCCACGGGCAAGCCCGGAGCCGGGGAGGGTGACCCTCTGCGGTCTGGAAGCCTGTGTGACCACTTTCCCCGTGCCCAGCGCCCCAGCTCCAAATTCCAAGCCTAAAATACCTTTTACCCCAACCGTGGTCCTAAAACAAACAGCAACCAAACCAGCAACAGCAGCCAAGAGCCCGGGACCTGCTGCAGCAGAAAGGAAGCTGACGGTGACGTCCCCCCCTGACTTCTAAGACCAGCCTGTAACACCAGACAGGCGCTGGGGACTCGAGACCCGAATGGTGCCCCCTCTTCCCACGTTACCCACCAGAGATGCCTTCGGGGACGCGGCACTGGGGTGAGTGGCTGTCTCTAGAGTCACCCTGCATTCAGTCTTCAGCGATCCTGAGTCAGGAATGTGACCCGGACACTAAGCCAACTTCATAGACCAATGTCACTTCAAGGACAAGGGAGCTGTGAGTAAAGACGAATGAAAAGCATTTTCCATGTCGCCCTCAAGAGAACAGGTCTGGTGGCTGCAATAAAGAATAAAGCGATCCGCGCGTGTCATGAGCCAAAAAGGTATTTAGAGACACGACGCTGGGCCCAGAATGGACTGGCCATAAGTGTCAAAGGTAGGGGGCCCGATGTTCCCGCTGGCAACTGACAGACAGAAAATTAACTGATTTAAAAACGCAGCCTGGCCGGTGTGGCTCAGTTGGTTGGGCATCTCCTGTGCACCAGGAGGCTGCGGGTTCAATTCCCGGGCAGGACACATGCCTGGTCGTGGGCGTGATGCCTGGTGGGGGGCGTGCAGGAGGAGCCGATCAACGTTGTGCTCCCACATGGGTGTTTCTCTCTCCTTCCTTCTCCCTTCCTCTCTCTACAAAAATCAATAAACTATTCTCTTTTTAAAAATGCAAGTGTTGCCCGGCCGGGCGTGGCTCAGTGGTTGAGCGTTGACCTAGGATCCAGGTGATTGGGGTTCGATTCCCAGTCAGGGCACATGCCTGGTTGCGGGCTGCCGCCGATCAATGACTCTCTCATCATGGATGTTTCTGTCTCTCTCTCCCTCTCCCTTTCTCTCTGAAATCAATAAAGATATATTTAAAATAATAATAAATAAAATAAAAATGCAAGTGCTATAGCTCTAATCTACTCTGCAGCGATAATCTTGAGGTGGACGCTGAGGTGCTACTTTTACAGATGGCAGGCCAGGCCACCAAGGATTCTTCCAAGATGCTCAAGGCAGAAAGTGGCAGAATCAGGACTCCATCCAGATCCAGATCCGGCACTTCCAACTCCAAGGTCAGGGTGTTTTGCTCCACCCACCACACCCTCCCTGGTGAATGACAAGTAGGTGAATTTGTCACATCTGAAGAACTCAAGCACTAACTATACAACGTTACGACGTGAGAAACTGAGTTATCTCAGGGTGGTAACAAGGAAAAGGGCTCTATTAATGCTAATTTTTTCTGCAAATTTCCTTCATAGACCATAATCTAGAAGCCACTAGCACGACTACCCAAGACAATACTCTTTATGATTAAAAACGGCATGTGCACAGGACAGTTCAAATAGCCCATCTACAGTAAGATATGGGCAGGTATTCACTGAAAAATTCTCTTTCTACCCAAAACTGTAGTGCGGATACGGGGATATA